GGAAGGTTCATGTCAACGTCAATTGTGCATAGAAGGCTTCACGAAGGTGGTCTGTATGCGAGGCGACCAGCCATTTGTGTGCCGCTCACGTCACACCATAGGAGGGACCGTTTTCAGTGGGCACGACAATATGTCCACTGGATGCCTGATCAATGGAGGGCGGTTCTCTTTACAGATGAGTCCAGATTTAGTCTAGAAAGCGATAGTAGGCATTATTTGATATGGAGAGAACCTAGAACCCGTTATCATCCGTCTAATATCCGTGAAAGAGATGCATACAGAAAGGGCAGTGTCTGTAATTGGGGTGGCATCTCTTTGGGTGGATGCACAGACCTCCATGTCTTTCCAAGGGGAACCGTGAATGCTCAGATTTATAGAGATGACATCCTTAATGTTTTATGTGTGCAATAGGTGCAGGGCAATAGGTGATGCTTTCCTGTTACAGGACGAAAACGCAAGATCACACAGGGCTCGCATCATAGATGATTATCTTCAACAGGAAACAATTATGTGCACGGTGTGGCCAGCTCGATCCCCGGACTTGAGTCCTATCGAGCAAGTTTGGGATGCTTTAGGGAGACTTCTAGCTGCTTTCAATCCACCCCCTCAGACCCTTGTCGCACTTGCAACTGCTTTGCAAGAGCAATGGCTCTCGCTTCCTATGGAACTGATAGACTGCATAATTGAAAGCATCACATGTTGCTGTATGTGCTGTATTGCTTCTAGAGGCAATCATATTCAATATTGAAGGTACTTTTCCTATAGCAAACAGACCCCTTTGATTTGTTCATTTTATACATGTGCTAATTTCTATGCTATCATATTTGTCTGGTAATTTTGTTTTATGTTATTTGATACCTTACTGTGTATTGTATATTGTGGGTAACTTTCATAAAATTCTACATGTAACTTTTTCAGTAATCGTGATTTTTCCTTAATTTATGATAACCTGTGTAGTAGGTGAATGTTTCGGTTTGAAATGTATGGCAGGCAGTTTCTCAGCTACGTAGCCAAATTACTAATCTCACAATTTTATGCTTATGTGATGGTTTCTTCATATTGAGGTATTTTATTTTGTGTTTAAGTGAAATTAAGAATTGGAATTTTTAAGCGAAAGTCTTCACATGTTTTATTATGGAAGGGAAAATAAAATGCGCATGCAAAAAAAAAAGTTTGTGGCTTTTTTGTCCGGATTTTAGATCATTCCGGATATTGGAAGTCCAAATCTCGGACTTTGTACTCTACATGCTTTTGATAATAATAATAAAGAACTTTTGTTTCCATTTCTGTGAATTGTTAACCAAATAAAATCATAAAATTTCTATCTAATACAATTAATGAAAACTGATGAAATTCTTATTCAGTTTAAAATTATTTAGAGCATATGAAAGGTATCATAATTTTATTCCATTTAAAACAAAATGAAGTTAAAAAAAATTGCATCTGTCATTTTTAATACATTGAAATATTGTATAAAAAGAAAATGTATATACAATTAGATTGATATTTATTTATGATGTAATTATTTTTTTTAACCTTCAAACTAACCTGAATGAGTATTACTTAATGGTAGACTGTCAAAAAGGGTGTGTCTTTTTGCTTTAAGTGTGAGTGATTTCAAGCATGTGTATTTTTTTCAATCTTTCCTAGACCTTCTTTACTAATACATTGCAGTTAGTTCACAAAGTATTTCTAAAAGAAGGAGTAGATTTGAATTTTTTGTAAAATTGTTATTTTGTGTACAATAAAATTGTCTCATATATCATGTGATAAGGAAAGTGTGAAAGTTTACAGAGTCATATTCTTTCTATGTGGTGCATGCCTTCTATAAAACAGCATCCATCAGAGGCAGTAATGTGTTTATAAAATGATGGGCTTCTGGTCTTTTTAAGTCTTCTGTTTTCTACCAAATTCTGTTTCTTCTGTACCAAATTCTACATTCTGTTTTCTACCAAATCTATCAAGCATAATATGAGCTGCCTAAGATTATAGACTTGTATGCATTTGGAGCAGTGCATATAGTATCTATATGTTAAGACAGCATTAATCATAGCAACAGAAAATTTTTTGTCGAAAGCATTCTATCTGTGCAATGGTTATGGATTGCAGTGCTTTAATAGTTTAGTTCCAAAGCTCCTGTTATGTGGAAGACAGGATTTGAATGAGTGTGATATCTTTAATGAACCTGTGGAGGAATATTTACAAGGGGTTTAAGTCTAGAGACCAGCATTATAACAGATAGTCATCTTAAGCATTTCATTGGATTCAGAGGTAAAGAACAGGGTGCTTCTTTGTTATAGTGGCCCCAAGTCATATTTAGCAATTTAAGATTTGTGCCAAGATCTCAGCTCTAATTTCGCCAAGCTTGTGCGAATGTAAAAATAAACAACAGAATATATAATACAGTCAAAAGTCTTTAATCCGGACTCATTGGAACTTCAGCGATTCCGGATTATTGGTTTTTTCCGGATTATAGATCAACAGTTTAAATCTGGTAAGATGGCATGCAGAAATTATAAAATTAAAAATATGAAATCGTAATTTATGAAATAAAGAATGATTATGATCTAAAGGGTATCAAAATTTCCAAAAAATGCTTAATGTTTATTTGTTTACTTTATCAAACATTTCTTTCAACGTCCTCATGCGTAAAGCACACATTACGTATAGTCGAAATTAGAAAATTGCAACCAGAAAACTATTTGATGTGTATTCGTGATATTTATAATGATGAGGAATTTGATTTAAATCATATCAAAGACAGAGTACATTGAAATGAAATACTACATTTAGTAAGGAATTATAAGCCGAATAAAATAAAAACATCTGCCCTGAAGATAAGGATAGTGCTGACAGATCAACTTCCAGTTCATTGCGCGCCGTGACGTTTTCCTACCCCCCCCCAGAGCAGCGTGAAATTGGTAAACAGATTTCGGAATGGTTAGAGAAACAAAGGATATTCCTTTATCCATTTTTTTCAGCAATTCCTTTTTTTGTTTGATGGATATCGAAACATGTTTTCTCTTTGTAGATCCTTTGGCAGCTCCAGAATCGGAAATTCTCTTTGACATAATCGAAAGTTCAAGCTTACTTTTATAAAATTGCTCTAACAGTCTGCAAAAAATAATAAGCCGGATCCAATTAGAAGATTAAAGAACAACGCAATCTGCAACATTAACTGAAATAGATAATTAGATAATTTTAGCTTAGCTTATACCGTCCATTATACATTAAACGCGCATGCGTGGACGTATTATGAGCATGCATAACCGCATTATATGTTTACGCATGCGCAGAAAGTTTGTAGCTTTGAGGTCTGGATTATGGACGTCCGGATTAAAGAAGTTTGACTGTAATAACGATAATACTCACATATCATTTCCTAAGAGTATTTTTAAGAATCTTAACCTTAGCTTTATTATTTTAATGCATATAATTTTTCTAGTCAACTGCTACTCTTTGACATCTATATAGCTGCTTGTGACACCATTTTATGGACATCAACTCCTGTGCCCAAGAATACATAAATCTAATAGCAGTGACAATATTCCAGAACCGCTGAATCAATTTCCAACATTTAGGCTGTTCTTCTTTTTGCAATCTTTAGCATTGCATCTTTAAATACTCATAGTTTCATTGTTAACATAAAGTTTCATTTTGTGGCAATTTTCTCATTGGTGATTTAATCTTGGGGGCTGCTAAAATAAACAATTACCATGAACTGTACATTCAGTTAACGTGAGTAACTGAATGTGCGATTAAATAGTCTTTCTTGTTTTCCTTACTCATTTTCGTATTACAAGAAATACAGATTTTGCAAATGAATGAAATCTGCTTCTTTTTTCATATTATTCTATTCATATTATTCTGGGTGTATTCTTTGATTGGTCCATGAAATAAAAGATACTGATTTCATTATATGCCTTTCATTGACTTCTAGTTTCTCCCGTTTCATTTTCTCTTCAAGGCAATTTTGTAAATTGAGTGTAGTGTGTGCAAGTGTAGCAAAAATTTCATCCTTTTTGAATCGCATTTGGTTTTATGAAAAACATTCCCATTCAATATCATACATGGAGAGTTAAGAGTGATGATTCAGTTGTGCTTAATAGCTAGTCTGTTATGATATACTGACACAACAGCTTTTATGGCTTAGCATGCTTTGAAGCATTTTTACAGTGTCATGTTATTTAGTTCAGTCTGATCATGAAAAACCATTTCAAACCCAAAACAGTGTGATGACTGCAATGAGAACAGTTGCAATTATTTTGTAAAAGTGGGATTTTAAGTTTTGACTCTTATATTGCTCCCATTCTTTTGATATGATACCAGGAGTGAATTGTGTTTTAACAAGACATCCTAAAGTTATGATCTAACTGAGATTGAAAGCTGGCACATAAGTAAAGAATTTATGCCAAGTTTTTTTTTAAATTTTTTTATTTTATTTTACTTTTTTTAATTTTTTTTTTTAAAGATGCTGTTTTGTAGCTTTTTCTTGGAGTCAATCATTCTTGTTGAATAATACCAAGAATATTCATGTTTTATAACAACTTCAGCGAAATCAGTGAAAGGCTGTATATGTGTTTAAAAAAGAAATGATGAGAAATCTTGCTGCAAAAAAGTTTATAATTTAAAAGTTCTTAAATAGAAGATTGTCCAACAGTTTCATATTGCTAAACAATTTAAACTAACCGTTTTGTTTATGAAGACAGATATTTTTTGGAGTAAGAAATGTTTCTGTGACTATTGAGATATCTGGACACTAACTGTTCCTGTTATTCATGGAGGAGTTAAAAGCAATCAGAATCTACGTCATGTTCATTAGAGTATTATTCATTTGAATATTGTGCTAATTTTTGTTTCTTTAGCTCCTTCACTATTTGATAGTCTGTGTGTTTTTTAAACTCAAATGTTTCTATAATTTTGCTTTAATGTGTTCCCTTTATAAACTGAACATGATTATGCATTTATTATATATATATATATATATATTTTAAACCTAGGCATCCACCGAAAGATAGTCGAAGTAATTCTATTCATTGCCGGGGATGTGCAGAAAATATTCCTGATTGGTTAGTTCATTTCATTAAATAATTTGCATGCTCATTTTATTTTAGAAAATGATTCATGGTAATTACTTCTTTTAATTAAAAATAATTAAGATTTGATTATTTGTTGCTTTGAAAACGAAAATTTGAATATTTTTTTAGCAGTTTTGACAATTTTATACCTGAAAAATTTACATTTATTATATTTTAGTAACACAAACAAAGTTGCTCAAGTCACATTTAGGCTTTAATGCTAAGGGAGTTAAAATTTGTAAGAATTCATTTTGTTTTTGAAAATAGAAGTATGCTGACTACAAAATTCTTATTTTTGCTGTCAGCTCATATAATGCATATGAAAAAAGCTCCTCCACGCTTAAAAATTTAGCTTTAATATGTAGTTACATCATCATGTGCATAAATCATAGCTGTAATTCTTGGGAGGAGAGATTCCAAAAGTTTGTTTAAGTAACCTGGGTTAGTTTTTTCAAGAATACTACATCTCACTGTTTACTGAAATTACTGGGATTTGATGCTGATCTTCTGTTCAGTGCATCATGACTTCAGTATACAATTTAATCTGACAATTTGGTTCTTTAACCTTCCAGCATGTGCACATGGCAATTTTACATGAGTATATATAAAGTTTTACATGAGCTCGCGCACATCACATTTTTTACACATGTTATTTTTATGGTTTTTGGCATGAAAAACAGCAGAAATAAGTGAATATTGATAATAAATTTAAGAAATAAAATGTTAACCTTATCATTTCAAAATACAAATAATGTCACATTCAAATGAAAGAAAATAATTTATAAATGCTTATATTAGTCAGATGGAAAGGCGATGATGTATTTCATTATAAAAAATTTAGAATTTATTATTTAATAACTATATTTTAAAATCCAAGCTAGTTTTAATATTCATCAAAGAGAAGTATAGACAAATAAAAAAGGAAACTACACTCACCTTGGTAGGAAAAAACTTAAGTTTAGCAATACTTACTTCTGCAAAGAAATTTACTTCTTACTGGTTAGAAAATTTAATTTTAAACTAACTTTAATTTTAATATTTTTATTTATATCTAAAAAAATAAAAATTAAGAAAATAAAGAATAGTACAGATATAAATAGGATAGAGTAGACTAATAACAGAATTCTAAAGCTATTTCTCAATGTTCAAAGCTCGCATTGCATTCCACGCAAATTTTTTTTGGTAATAGAATGACATTTGCATGTGTGTGTAAGGCATGTCTTCCATTTCATAGATGCTGATCATCTCTTTCTTTCTCTGTCTCACAAACCGATTGCTCTGGCAGTTCATCATTAGGAGCAGCATTATTACGGCTTAGAAATGTTGGAAAATAATGTTCCTCATTTCAATGAGGATTGCTCTGGCACTTCATCATTAGGAGCAGCATTATTATGGCTTAGAAATGTTGGAAAGTAATATTTATATTTTTGCACGTGAATGAAGATGCTCTTTCATAAGACTAATATATAAATTAGGAAGATCCTTTGGCATGGTGCTGTGTTAGCTGGCATTGCAAGCATGTGCATAACCTGGTCATTTATCCCAGTCAAATTCAGAAGATTGGAAAAGATAGCACAAAGCCATCTCCTTTTGATTCTCAAAACTGAATAGCTTGCACACAATTTATCTATGGTGTCCACTTCTTCTTTCCTAGCATTATAATCCATGATTATTCCAGGTTTATTTGTAGTTGTATCAATGCTGTCATCATCATGCGTAGTAGAAAGAAGAATTACAGGTTTGTTTCTACAAGGAATGTAAGAAACAAGAACTTTGCCTGACTGGAAACCAAATACTGCTGTTCGCGCCATCCATCTCTTATTTGGCAAAAATTCCTGTGGCGCTTCCTCTTATGTTTTTTTTCAATGGTCCAACAAAAGTCAGTTTCTTTTGCAGTAAATAATCTGCAAGTGTGATGCTTGTGTAGTAATCATCTATTGTAATTTCTGCATGAGTTTTTAACTAGAAAGACCAATCTTTTCACAACATTCATAGGACTGTTTGAGACAGCGTAACAACCACTAGGTTGTGCTCCACAATATGTTTTGAGACCAAAATGTATAAAATGTTTTTCAGTTACACAAAGCATACATTTTTATTCCATACTTCGATAGTTTACTAGGCATGTAATTAATTCATTGACAGCGACCTCGAAAGGGATGCAGCATTTCATCAATAATTTCACCCAAAGTGTAGCATTGCAATTTTTTAGAAATGATTCAAAGATATTCTGGATGGCATCCAGTTTGTCCTTTTTACATCTGTCCTGTCTTGTCATGAACTCTCATCATGTCCAGTATTATTGAGATGATTCGAGAATTTTCAATGATGCGGCTGAAAATCATTATCTATGTCCAGAATTGTTGGGATGATTCGAGAAATACTTTCAAGAATTTTTAATGATACATAGTGTACTGATTATTAAAAAAGTCTGGCTAATTCCGTTGAATGCTACGCTGAAGTATTGTAACAGTCAGGGCTGTATGGGAGATACTGATTATTCAAATATCAGTGATTTTTTTTTTTTTTTTTTTTTTTTTTTTTTTTTTTAATTCTGAATTCTTCTATACTGGTCATCAGTGAAAGTATTTTAGAGGAAAAGTTTTAGAGGAAAATATTAACAAATTCTTGGGTTAGGGTGCAAGGATTCGAATGATCTACTCAAAAAAAATTTTTTTTATGTAATTGTAAACCGATGAATATGCTTCTGATTTATTTTATTTCTAGTAAAATAAAACAACAATATTTATAAATGTAGAGGTGTAAAGGAAATCAGAAGAAAATATTTGGTTTCTCTACACAAAAAACACTCAATTGCCCAGTACAAGAATTACAAATTTTTATTTTCTTGGGACTTAATTTTTCTAAACACAAAACAGTAGATATAAGATGTATTTATTCATATTTTTATGTAATCATATATTCATTACTTTACTTCCAAACTTTCTTTATAAACAAAATCTGTCTCATTATTTTTAAAACCATATAAATTTGGACCTGCGGCCCTCGAATGCTCATAAAATCTATCATGCAGCTCCCATCGTCTTGAAGTTTGTCCGTCCCTGGCATATACTTTGCTAATGAATGTAACTAAACAGAAAGGGGGGATGAAAATGGTCGCCTTCAAAACATTATGTATGTTTGCAGGTTACAAATTGCTGTTTAGAATTGTGTTTTTCTGAATGGATATTATGCTATTCATGGCTATAAAAATATCAGCAAGCAGAGAGCCATGGTTATCTGTGGTCAGAACATCTTGACTCCTACACCCCCTTCCACACGCATACACAGAATGCCGTGGTAGAGTTCTCTTAGCTCAGCATTAACAATATCCTAGTTCTCACTGGTGACATTTTATCACAGTTCTTGTGTTCAGAAATTTTTTATTCATGTTGCAGTGATTTAATGTTTAATTAAATTTGTTAGCATTGTTTTAAAGAAATGCCAGTGTAAGAATTTCATGCTTAGCTGTCAATATAGTTGAATTACAAATTGCAAACCAATAACAGATATCTTAGCACCAACCTGTAGATTTCAGATTTAATATATATATAAACTTGAATTTTTGTTTTCCTTTGTGGTATTATTATTGCTTATGCATGTTTGGATAAATATTTAGTAAGTGATATTTAAAATTTATTAAAAATATTTTTTATTTTATTAATAAGTTTTCATTTTATTAAAATAACTGCCCCATCACCTGTTTTCAGATCATGCATTTGGCCTACATACAATAAGTTTGAGACTACTGGTGTATGGTATATTTTGTTCTGATTTATTAAAGCTAATAAATTAATAAAATCTTGTGGCAAATTTATCAATTAACCTTCACTGAATTTATATGTTACATGGATATCCTGTCTCACATAGCATTCATTCATTGATATCTACGGTTTTACATATCTGGGAAATGTTGTGGAATGCACTGCATACAGGTACAGAACTGTTATTGTAACCATATTGAAGCTGCTTATGCAATGCTTACAGAACAATAGTCATAAAGTACCAAATGTTAACTGATTGAAGGGATTTGTGTGTTGTTCAAAATTCATCTTCATTGACTGAGCATGTCTTGTTTAAACCCAAGTAGCACAGCAACGTCGTAATGACGTTGCAAACTCGTCTCAGATGTCGTAAAAATGTTGCAATATGTCATCTTTAAAATGCCCAGATGTCGGCGAACATCCACTGTTTTGAAACCTTTGCAAAGACGTCTTTATTACATCTTTGCAGATGAGGTTTTTGTTGCGTAGACGTCGTTTCGCCTGTGATATTTTGGTTGTGGAAAGTATCATATCACGACACCTAAATGTTCGCAAAGTTCCACGTTTTTGCAACAGTTGTGAAAATGTTGTTATGTGGACATATTGATTTATGCAGAAAAAAAGGCTTACTAATTAATATATTTTTCTTCTTTTTTTAAAATTTTGTATTCCTTCTATTTATTTAAAGTTTAAATATTTTATCATTTCCTGAAAACCAGAAGATAATACAATTTTTTTCTTAGACTAAATATGCATAATTAATAATAGCCTTAATTATTTTCAGTACTTTAAACTATATTTTTTAAATAACTAAAATTCCAAGTTATGATTGTTTAAGATTTCATCATATTTTCCCCCTTAAGTGTGAGAAATTATGAAAGTGGTTATTATAAATATATAACATTAATAGTATGTTTTAAATAACTAAAACTCAATTAGACATAAATAAAAGTAAAGATATATATGTGGGTTAAAAAAAGAGCGTTTCTGATAACAGAATTATCACATTTATTTCTGTTAAATCTCAGAGAAATTGAAAATTGCCCCTGTCATGATAAAATAGGAAGCGGTTCTTAAGGTAACATAATCAGTATTTTACCTGAACTCAAGTATAAATTTATTTCGTATTTCACAGGAAGAAATATAACCATTAATTTCTATATCTCCAAGATATGCAAATGAAAGACAGTATAAAGTAGTTAATAAATGTGATCAAAAATATTTCATACAAAAATATACCTAAATCTAATAACTTCCCATATTCATATCTAAAATGAAATAATAACGTAACAAACAGCATACATGACAGCACTATTTAAAAAAAAAAACATGAACTAGTAGAGTTTGAAAGTATAAATAACAGTAGGAAGGTAACAGAACTAAAATTTTCAATTAATAAAAAAATGTTTATGTTTTTTAAATAGTAACTAATTGAAAGTGCAATAATGATGGATTGCGGTATTTACTAGTAATGCTGATGTTTCTTAACATCATTTCTTTCGATCATATGTAAATGTATTACCTATTTTTAGTTTCTACATTTTAGAATAGTGCTAGATTACAATGATCATTTCAGGCACATTTTGTAATCAATAACTTTCCTCTTGATACTGTACAGAAATAATTTAAATAATATAGTATATGATAGTAAGCAAGTACGTTAAAGTGAGCTCTTCGTTAAATAGCACACAATGAAATATTTTTTTATCACAAGCACATAAAATGTAAGCGAAGAATATACTTAAATTATGAATATACTATACTTAAATGACTTACTTAATATACTTATTGAAGTATAATGAATATACTTAAATTTAATAAAGAACAAAACCTTATTTCCAACATTCATTTATGAATAGACATATGTACGTATCTAATAGACATACGTAACGGCAATATTTAAAAAAACGTGAATTCCACAGTGTTTGGAAGAATAAATAGCAAACAACAAGTAGTAAAACTGTAATTTTCAGTCAATGAAAAAAATTTAGTGTTTTTCAATACTTCACAATTAAGTATGGCATAATTATAGATTACAATATTTCATAGTAAGGCTAATGTTTCCTTAACACTATTTTTTTCTATTATATGCTTAAAGTCTGAGCACCAACCTGTATCATGAACACAATAATTGATTAATATGAATGATATACGCTGTAGCACTTAGGACGTTATAACCGAATCCATGTATCCAAATATAACGATGATCCATGTATCCAAATATCGCACGGTGTTATAACCAAATTCGTGTATCCAAATATAACAATAATCCGTGTATCCAAATATTGCACCGCCACAATATAAGTTTAATCATCAGAAAGTCACAAAACACCAAAACAGAACACTATTTAACTTTATAGATAATATTATTAGCATAGTGCAAGCAGATATTCACAAACAAAATAAGCAGAAATTCGGCATTATCATGAAGATTCTTCTCAATTCAGTATAAACTGCCATCATTATATTTTTGTGCGTCGTTCTCTTTTTGTATGGAAGGTCTCCAGTATTTAATTCTGACGGCGAATTACAAAAGCGTGAAGAAAATATTCCTGAAAATAAGATGGAGTCAAATTATCGTGCAATTACTAACTTGTTCAAATTTGGCAGCTAGCCAAAGCACGCAAGCCTCGAGCTCAGATCTTACGTTATATAATCATCCAGTAAATAATATACATCGAATGTTGAACAGCAATTCAGTGCAACGTTTCAACGATTTATTCAATTGCATTAAACCTTTCGACGGTTCTTCTGATAATTTAATAGAATCTTTTTTAAATGGCGTAGAAGAATTATTTCAACTGAATAGAATTACGAACAATGTTCACAGAATACAAAATTTACAAAAAAAAAAAAAAAAAATATTTATTGAGCTCACTAAAACATTTGTAATGTCAATATCACCAAATCCCGAGTGTACTAGGATTAAAACAAGCATTCTTGAATGCATGGGAAAAACGTAAAAACATAAAAAAACAGTTCATCAGAATTTTTATAGGCAATGAATTTCATATTTTTGTTCACAGTTTTTCTAATTTTGATGTCAACATTTATTAGTAATTTATGAAAGCCATTAATTTTATCATTTTCCATTAAAATTGTTAATATTTCTTTCTCCTTTTCCATTAATTTTTCCGTTCTGCTTGTCCTGACCGTCGATGAGTTTTCCGTCATATATATTGGACAGACGTTAAAAATGCATGGATATGCATCGTCTTTTAACATTGGACATTTTCTCGGAATTCTTAAAATCGCCCTTTTGGATTTTTTAAAGTTACCCTATTGTTATCCAAGTATAAAGATTCACGAAAATTGTACTTTTTGCTCTGCATGCGGCAAAATTTTCATATTATGTCAGCATATTAATTCATCCTTACTTCAAAAATAATAAATAAAGTCATATTTTAGCAGTAAAATAATTGCTAACATGTGATTTGCATTGATTTAGGAAATATGATTTTTTAAAATATATAAAATGCATAACTTAATAACTTTTACTTTATAGATTGGTTTCATTTTTAAATATTTTGCTGTAATATTTATAAAAAAATATTTTAAGTATTAATTATTTTAACAAAATTTTAAACAATAATTTAGCACGTATTTTTAGTACTAATTAAATTTAATAGATCAAAAGCATTTATATTAAATTTATATTTCATTAGATGAATCTACCTTAAATGAATATATTTAGAGGAAATAAAGTAATGAAACATTGCAAAATAAATCTTACGTGGACTTCAGATTCTTGAAAGGGCAGATTTAGTCTCTTTTCATTCTAAAATTAACACTGATGAACTATGAAAAGAGTGCTCTTTTCTATTACAACGTCTAAAAGCAGTCATATCATGACGTTTCAATGACGTCGACAAATTGCGAAGTTGCAATGGCAAATATTTTGCATCTTCGCAACGTTGTAAAGACGCCATAAAAGTTACCATGACCAGTTTGCAGCGTCGTGTGCTACTTGGGAATAGTATATTGTCCAGTTTTTTAGTTTCAGTTGAGGCTTATTTAATCGACCTTTATATAGATATATAATTATGCTGCTGTTAACAGCTGAAAATACTTCTGTTTCCTTCATACTAACTCCTTCTGACCAGCCAAAATATGGTTTTTTTTTTTTTTTTTCTTCGCCATAGCATATAATCTAGTTTTTTTCCAATTGAGTGTCGTTAAACTGACCTTTATACAGGTATATAATTATACTTTTTTAACAGCTGCAAATGCTTCCACTTCCTTCATACTATATCCTTTTGACCAGCCAAAATCTGTTCTATTTTTTGGTCAATCACTTACATTTATTTAACTTTTGACGCATCAGTTTTATGTTTTTCACGTTTTTAGTTTCAAATGATCCCATAGAGCAAGAGCACACACATATTGTTATGCAATATAGAACTGTTTAAATAAAAGTGCAATTATTACATTTGGCATTTATCATATATTGAAATAGTTGCATTTTATGTAAATACACTGAATTAGGGATAGCAAGTCAATAAAGAGCTGGGCCTTCTCTGGCCTTGATAATGGTTGCCACATGACAGGGTATAGATTCAGTAAGTTTGTGGGTGCATTCTTTGGGAATGGCTTGTCAAACATCAGATAGAGCTGTCCATTATTCAGGAAAGGTGACTAGGTGTTGTGTGATGCAGTTTCACATCTTTCTCCAAGCATCCCAGAAGTGCTCAGCAGGATTTAAATCTGGTTCTAGGTAACCAATTCATGACAAACAATGGAGGGCTCCATTTTCTTGTGAATGACAGGACAACATAAATGCAAGGAGGATGATTGCTCGGCAACTATATGTACCAAATCATGTTGAGGGAGGTTGGTACAAGTACCAAAGATCCCAAACACTGCCAAGAGAAAACACCCCAGACCATAACTGAGCTGCTATGATCCATGACTTCATGAGCTTGATGCCATATTTGCAACCTCTCATTGGTGTTAAGTAGTTGAAATCGTGACTCAGGACTCCATACTACTTGTTTCCAGTCCTCTGGTGTCCATTCTCTGTGTTCTTTTGTCAGGCAAGACGTGCAACTGGATGGCAATCATTGAACAATGATACTCTTGTGGATCTATGTCTCCCAAAGCCCATATGGTGAAGCCATCATTGCATGGTCCATTTACTGACTAAATGACTGGCCCTATGTCTCAGCTAGGTGGTAGTTTGAGTTAATATTTGGCGTCTCTGGCTATGTACAATATGGCTGAGCCATTTCACACCATGCTTGTTCAAGGCTAATTGTCCTTTGCAATTTGCCTCATCGCTAATTTCCCCACCATCCGTATGCTTGACACTTTCGACCTTGAAAACCATAGTACTTTGATGACTCCAGAAAGTGAATGGCCTATGCATCGAGTGCCTACTATCTGTCCACAATCGGAGGTGTCCAAATCAGAAATTTTACTCATACCGGTAGTTGAAATGACTGATTAACAACAATCTTACCACAACGACCTCACATCAGCATGAATGCGTCACAGTGATACACAGTTTGCATAATCATGTCTATCCCTAATTCAGTTGCACTTCAGTGTAGTATGTAACATTTTGTTTGATTCTTTGAAGTTTACCTAGTTAAATCATTAAAACTGTTGAAAAGATCATTACTAATTCAGATAAATACTGAATACTAAAAACCAGCCTTCTTTTTGTAGTGGCAAGAATGAAGTATAATTTAACATTCCTTACAATCAGTTCCTTCCTTATAGTGTCTGTAATAACTGTAGTCTATATTAGAAGTTCATATTGTTAATTTGTAAAAATTTCCATGCAGGTATTCATGCTGTCCTAGTTGTGGCATTAGTTTTCCCGTATGTGTTGCATCTGGAAGGCCCATCATGAATCCCAGTTTACAATGGACTTGTTTACAATGCCACCATTCTGCATTTAAACAGGAAATGCTTACTCGATCTTGCTGTGCCTTATGCCATTGCGTGTTATCAATACCAGTTTAATATCATAAACTATGTTGTAGTTCATTAGTTTGATATCTTATGAACTACATCACTAGTGTAACTACCATATTGAGCTTTATTTTGTATAAATTCTGAATGAATTTTAAAGTACATTTTTACTGTTTATAAATGCAGGAAAAATATGGGATGCACTCAAAAGTTTTCAGATACTTAATGCATGAAAACAGGTAAAAATGAAATAATTACTGCTTCTTTTCAAAACCTACACTAAAACTGTTAAGTTATGTAATCATGTACTGAAACCATTTTCAAGACAACCGAAACTTTAATCTTATCTGGTGTGTATTCGAATTGTTCATAGCTGCTGCAGCTTCATCAGGTGGTAGAAACTCATCGAAGGGCTGGGAGACAAACTAAATCTTCTGAATCCAAATTAAATGAATACAGTAGATATCATATAATAACTTATTTTTTTGGTTGCAGAAATTCCGCAGTTCTTGCAACTGTATGTAAAGGCACATTGGTGTGTTTATCACAAGCCATATTCTGGTCTCAGTTTGGGCCATTTTTCAAGAATATGAATATGTAAACTCTTACATACTATTATGATTTCGATGTAACTTGTGAATTCAACATCACCATTAAAAGCTGGCTTCATTTAGGATCAAAAGACATTTCATACATATATTTTCCTATTTCATGTCCTTCAGCAATTTCCAGACATTTCAATTTTTGTGTTGTTTAATATTTTTTTAATGTTAATTTGCACCATTTCACCATTTGGAAATTAAGATGCTCTTGAAGAATAGGGTAGACTCTTCCCAATTTAATCTTTAAGGTATCCATCATATGGATATAGAAGATATGACATCCTTGATTCATTAGATTTTCTACAGCAACAGCATTCTTTGCTATGGCTAAAGTGGATAGATGGTCTTCTGTAGAGTTATTCACAAGTTTAACTCTTTCATAACAAAGTCACTTGAAATGCCTGAACTTTCAGATATCAGCAGGTTACCTGAACATCTGCGTCTGTTTTCTACCTGGTTCTTTCTGCCATCAGGTAAGTACGTGGCTCATTAGTTTCGGCAGTTGTTAAATGACATCCCAATCATTCTTCTGAAGTGACTAAAAGTAGCTCTGTTACTTGAATACACTTTCCCTCTCCTTTGTTTAGCTATTGATGCCCATAGTTGCAATCCTGTCCCTAAGGGAAACTGTAAAATAAAACTATCTCCAAAATAAATCTAATTTAAATTAAATTAGTTTTATTTTGGAGATCTTTAGATGTCCAAAATAAAACTAATTGCTTCACATAAGTAGGTTACTGTTGATGCTGTAGCATTCTACGTGGCATGGGGAAAGGAAATCCATTCCAACAAAAATTGATATATACAGGCATTTCAGATATTTGAGAGAAACAGATTTTAGCCTCTATCTATGCGAAAGAGTTAAAATAAGTGCACTATCTAAATACTGCGACACTAAGATAAGAATCTTTATCTTTCAGACATGATGGTAATCTTCTATAATATTCTTCTGATGTAACTTTTTGAAGCCTTGTAAACATAAAGCTAAAAAATCTTTTAATTATCAGTGCTGTTTTAAGATTCTGAGTGTCTTAGGCATCCCTTGTGGCCATCTAGTTAAAAAGCAGTTTTGAACCAGGAAGTTGTGGCATAATACTGTAACATGCTGAAAGTATGAACTAAAAATGTATGGTGATATTTCGTTTATGCACGCCTAAATTATTAACATACGGTGATATGATTATTGATAAATTTTGAATATCTTGGAACCTTTTGAGTGCTTTGTCTAGCATATTGATGTTCATTTCTGCATTTCGTGACCCATTGAACATAAATCTTCATCTTTCACTCTTCTTTTTGGGGGGTGGAGATATTAAATTCATGCATATTGCCAAGGCCATCCCCAAATTCTGGAAAAAAAGTGCATCTTTTCTGCTAAATTTGAGAAATACAATGATGTGATTTAGAGAGAAAGGAGAGATACTCTTGTTTATCACTATATGTTCATCCATTTGGAAAATTAAGTTTAGCTTAATGGTATGAAATACAACTTATTGCCCATTTGCACAGTATGGATTATTTTTACGAGCAAAGGAAACTGGAATATTTTCTAGTATGTAAATGTTCCTAAAATATCTAACATTCCACTCTGCTTTTCATAATTCTTCATGATGTAAAATGGCAGATAAAATAATTTATATTGTAGCTATACAAATTTATAATGATTATCATTGTAATATATTTACATGATTTTTATAATATAACTTTAAAAGCAAAGGACTCACAGTATGATAGACTGGATTTGCAATAGTATTTTTATCTGAAGCTTTTTCATTTTGGATTTTGGAATTAAGTAGTTTTAAAATGTTTTTTTTATTTGATGATGGACTAGCTTGTATTTCTGGTCTTGGATTTTAGACCTAGTATGATTTCAAATAAAAAATGACAGGTATGTATTGTTTTTGTTTTCTGTTTATCATAACTGCATATCTTGTTATGTTTGTCTTATATTTGCATATTTTTATGTGGTAATTGTGTAAATGTGATAGTCATAAATGTTGTATATATTGATTTTGTTTTAAAAGAAATATGTATTTTATTTTGCTGTTTATTAATTTTAACATTTCATTAAAATTTTTATTAATAAAATTTTTAAAGTTAAAATGCCAGTTTTCCGAGTGCTGCATTATTTACTAAAAGCCGTACTAAGATTTTATTATGCTGAATGCATTGCTGCTGCAGAATATCAAAATACTGCTGATTTTCGGCCAAACACACATACAAATTTGAGGCTGGGGCAAAATACAAAATTGAAGCTTATGTTACAAAAGTAGAATTTTCAGAAAATTGTGTGCATTTCCTGTATCAAGTTGGAGATAAAGTTCTTTTGTTTAATTGCTCAATAAACAAAGATATTTTTTCATTTTATTTTGGCATGTGTCTGTTCCATATGTTTTTGTTGCTTAGAAAGCTTAGAAATTTATATGCAGGCAGAAGAAATTGACTGTTTTTAGGTCAGATTAACCTGCATCTTATTTTAGAGATAAAACGATTAAAAAAACTTGAAAAACTGATTTATTCACTGAACGTAGTTGAAACTCCTGTATTTGGGAGTATTCTCAAAGTTCATAGTTTTTTATTCATATAATAGATATTGATTTTTGATAATGCATACAGATATTGCTTCAGGTTTATCTTTTGTGCGTCAAACTGCACAAAATCCGTATGATATTCAAAATGTGCACCCACAAACTATTATACTTATTTAAACATACTGTTATGAACTGCTACATTTAAAAGAATTGCTGCTGCATTAATAATCAAAAGTTTCTTTTACAATCATATCACTAGTTTGATGATGGTCTGTTTATCTATCACCGCTGTATTTATCTTCATTTACAGTAAATTTATTATATAAGCAGTTGAATTTTTTTTGTATCGTATTAAATCACAATTTAATATACAAATCTAAATATTTCGTATACCTGTTTTTATTGTGTTATGTTTAATGTGCATGGCCTCTAGCAGAAGTATCGACTTATTTATCTCCTTGAAAGTGCTTGCTTTTTTTCAAAAAATTCAATTTTGTCCATCATTTACTAAACATGTTCTGTAAAAACATTTGAAAACTTTTATAATACAATAAAATTAAGGTTAAATGTTAGAAATTTTGTTTTCAGGAAGAGACACTAATATATTTGTGAAAGCTGTTAGAGGCATGTGTGCTGCACAATTATTTAGTTAAAGCAGTTTTTTTCATTTTTTAATTCACTGTGACATTTTGAAAGGAAATCAGTAAAAATGCTTATCTGTCATTCATGAGTTCTTATATCTATGATAAATTAGAGGTAAATTCTTAACTACTTTCAAAATCGACGTTTTCTGCTTAACCTGTGCTGTCTTCTTAATTGTTGGGTCTATATTGTATGTTAATAACACATTAATTTATTGCTTCAGTTTGTTAAACCAACTACTGTTTCACTTTTAAATATTAATGTGTGTTTTAGGAACGTTCTCTAACAGAAGCAAGTTTAATTTGTATTATAAATTTCATGTGGCTTGTATTCATTTAGCAGCCCAAGCAAAAATGTCCTGTATCCAGTTAGCATCAGCATGATGATTCATCTGCTTCTTTCTTTTTACTGTGTAGTTTCTGATGAACAATATCAGCTTTCACTTTCTCGAACTTGTGAGCCATAAGCTAGTTGATAAAAGATTCTCTCCTAACACTTAATGAATTAGCAAAAAAAAGCTCTGGAAACAAACATTTTTTAGCTCTGTAACGTGAAATTATTCTACAAAAGCGACTTTTAACAACTTTTTTTCGCTTTTCTGTCTTCTTTGCGCTTCCTTGAGATGGTTGCGTTTGTTATTAGTTCTTTAATTATAATTCCTTGTTTATGGAAATTTCCAGTTTAAATGTAGTTTATCCTTCGCTGCAGCTGTGAAGAACATTAAAATCTTTTAAAAATTTATACTTTTTGCTAAGGCGTAAGTCTATTCGTTTGGCATTTCAGCATGTTATAAGTTAAGCACACAGTGCATTAAAAAGATGCTTCTTATAATACTCTATTGAAGTTTCAAAATTTCTGTTTCTAGCTAACTGAAAGATTAAAATTTGTCTGTTTAGTCAATCTGCTTCTTCATGATTAAAAGCATGCCTAAGGCTTTCCTCACTTTTTCTTCAGTCTACAGCTACCACTTCCTTTCTATTCAAATATTATTATTTTGTGCAACAATGCTTAAAAGCATTTCAGGAACTTTTTTCTTCTTATTACTCCATGTAAACATAATGTATCTATCCCAAATTGAAAATTTTGAATGTTGAAACTTTGAAAGATGGGATAACATACAGAAGTTGCATTTCCACCTCCTATCAGCTGGTATTCAAGAAGAAGCTTTCACTTATTTACAGTGCCTCTAGGGCAGTGTTTCTTAACCTTTTTGGCACAATGAACCACTTTAAAAATTTTAAATATGTCACGGACTTCTCTGTAAAAAAATTGCTTAAACATCATTCATTACAAAATATATTCTGTTTTATTATTTAATTATTTTAATATTTTTATTTCAATAGTATAAAAGAAATTAAAATTTTTAATGTTGCTGCTTTTCCTTGATTAACAGATTGAATCAAGGGATGGTTTTCAACAAAGCAACGTGCATATCATGTTTGACATTCAATCTATTTCGATGTTTTGTTTTTATTGTGACAAGTGTGGAAAATCCCACTTCGCAAAGATATACTGTAGCAAACGGAATAATGGCTGCCATAGCTCGTTTTACAAGCAATGGGTAGGCTTCTCTTAAAGAAGACCAAAACTCTCCAAGAGTTTTTGAATCGAAATCCATTTTTAACAAGGACTTTGTTTTCAAATCAATTAGCTCATCTTTGGCAAGGTTCATGTCATCGATACAGTCAATATCACAAAGAAAAGGATTACGAATCCACAACTCATCTTTTATATTTATTCCATCCGAATTGAAATATTTTTCAAATGAAACTTGAAGTACTTCCAGGTGTTCACAGATTTCATTTTTCAAGTTATTCAATAACAAACTCTTTCCGAGATCCATTTTCAAAAAGCACTTCGTCCAACATTTGAAAGTTTGCATATATCCCATTTTGAATTCTAATTTTCCAAAGTGACATTTTCAATAAAAATGCCTGTAGTTTCTCAGTGGCATCCATAATTGTTGTATCAGGCCCTTGAATTGAAAGACATATATCGTTCATGTGGTTAAAAAATGTCTGCCAGGTAAGCCAATTTACATATAAAATCTTTTTTCTTGAAATATTCGAAGAGTGAGTTATCGTTTTCTTCTAAAAAAAGTGATACTTCTGTCTTCAACATGAAAATTCGTTTCAAAACTCCCTGCCCTCGTGACAGCCAGCGCACTTCCGTGTGGTACAGAAGTACCTCATGTTCTGCGTTCATTTCTTGACACAGTGTTTTAAAAAGACGTTTTAATAACTATTGACAATACTTCTTTTAAGCTGGTTTAAGGTTCTTTAAGGTTGGAAGAGTTTTTGTAGCCAGTGCATGTCTATGTAAAAAACAATGTGTAACAATAACATTAGGAGCCTCTTTTTTTTTTGGGCAAAACCAGATTTATTGCCAAGCATCGCAGGTGCTCCATCCTACAAAGTGAATTAAGTTTTGTTCATCGTGTTTAAAAGAAACATTGCTTGTAGTTTATCCAAAATAGAATCTTCTTTGATTCAGCATACATGTGAACAAGTTGACCAATTCGAGATGTCGTTTTCATATTATAAAAATGGCGAAATTCATTATTTGTTAAGATATTGGTCAACTATCTTGAATGTATCACATCCTTGGACAATGGAATAGCCTCAAGTTTTTTTTCTCAGTCCCAAACTAATTCAATTTCCACTGCACATGGCTTTTTTATCCAATTATAGGTTTTTCTTTTTTTGGTACGATATGATTGGATGTGCTCAAAATTTTGAAATACCAACGCCGGTTTGCCAATTTCAAAAACTGTGCTTCTTTGTTTGCAAAACAGATAATCACATGTTAGATACATTTTTGAGGTTCACCATTTTGCCGTTTTTTCCAAAAAACTTTTTCACACAGAAATTGTGGCTTTTCAACATTGTGAAAATCCTTCATGCAAATTTTTTTTTTTTGGACTTTTAAAAGCAATACCAAATTGGAAAAAAATGACAAAGAGTTTACACTTGGAAAAAAAAAAAAAGAAGTTTTTTTTAAAACTAACCGATTTAAAGTAAAATTCAAAGGACTTTGTGTTTCTAAAAATTTCCGGTTCCCCAACCCCCTAATGACCACAGGGACCCCCCCCGGGGTCCATGAACCACGGTTAAGAAACACTGCTCTAGGGCAAGAGTTCTCAACCAGGGAAATGCTGTCAGCCTTTTATTGATCTGTATTTAGTTTATAATATAAAATACTACATTTATCCAAGTTGGCTTACAGAGGTTGCCCGTGACAAAAAAAGTTTGTTTTTAAATATTGATGCAAACATTTTAAAAATTAGGAGCAGTCAGCGGAACCCCAAAATATGACCCATGAACCCCCAAGGGGTCCATGAACCACAGGTTAAGAAACACTGCTCTAGGGCAAGAGTTCTCAACCAGGGAAGAATGCTGTCAGCCTTTTATTGATCTGTTAAGTATTTAGTTTATAAATATAAAGTACTACGTTTATCCAAGTCTTGGTATTTATCAACATTTTCTGCATTTTTTGTTGTTTAATTTATAAAACATGTCTAAAAAATGATTTAAAATCTGTATGAATATATATATATATATATATATTACACATATAGGGTGTTTATAAATGAATAGTGCAGTTTTAAAAATTAATAATAAATTGATGTATTACCTTACCCATTGTAAAACCTACACCGTAAACATTGGCAACTGTCCGAGTTTCTCATGCGCTATCTGCTATTTCCTTGTCATGCTTACTGCGCGGCTGCAGTGTCAAGTTCCAAGATGATGCTGCAACAGGAAAAAGCTTTCTGTGTGCTCTTTTGAGGTGTCCAGGTTTGTAGTTTTAGTGCAGCATGAGTTTTGTACACATATTCTGTACAGTGTCCCATGAGAAAATGCTTGGCCTATCTTTCTTCGACAAGTGATCGGGGACTTCCTTTCTGATATGATTGGTTTTCCCTAGCTGACACC